GACGTTCAACTATGAAATCTGTTGTATGCAAAATGAATCCCATGTCTGATGCTGCTTCTTGTGGATCAGAAGTCAAGAAATGGTGGACAAGACAATTAACTGTGGAGAGTGATGAGAGTGGAGAGGACCTTCTTGATATCTGAGAAAAATTTAAGTCATACCGCAACACCAACCACTTCAAGTACAATCTGATTTTCTATATTTAGAATTTAAGACGCTGTGTGATGTATGATTTCTTTAAAATCAATATCATAAAATTTTTTGAATGCTGATCCTTCTGCCATGTGAAGCATAGCACACCCTTATATGTTAGAATCCACCGCTATAGGTACTAACTGTACTTCAAGCAAACTGTATACAATAGCAGTACTAACAAAGCCAGAGAGACTATATTGCCTTTAGCAGACAGAGCGTTGAAAGATTTCATGTGTTCTGTAGCTGTATAATGAAAATGCATTTTGATATACACACCTCTGTGTTTTTCCTCAATCTATACCATACTTTAAAGTGGCAACACTTTACAATACAGGGGTAATGTATTTCTTCTTTTTGTGTTTTCCCTCAGTTCTTATTTAGTAACATTTCTTTAGAAAGGTTTTATTATTCAAAAATGACCTGAAGAGGTCAGCACTGACTTCATGTTTAAGGGAAGTATTTTTACAAAGTACAAGTTCTGAATTACAAATCTAAGCTTTTTCTGGACCTTTTTTTAAAATATGCAAGATACAGTATAACTCATTTTAAAATCAGAAGGTGAAGGACTGGCTTTTAAAATGTAAATATATTAGGGTTTTGGTTAATTATGCAAAGAGCTTGATTTTCATAGAGAAAACAGAAAAAAGAAAAAAAAAATAAAAGACATGAAAACTGTGCATTTAAGCATCTAGCAAAAGACCTCCATGAGAAAAACATTGTTAATGCTTCATTTTCAGAATATACTGGTTACATATATGTATGGTGTCATTATTCTCCTGTCAATTGGGTCCCATTTCTTTGTGTAGTCGTAAAATAACTTTCTTCTTGTCCGTGTGGTACAAATTAGCATGTTGGGGGTTCTAATTACAGAGTAGTATTGTATGGCTTTTAAGATGCAGTTCAGTTTTGCCTGCATAGGTAGAAGTGACTTTTACTTAGCCATGTTACTAGCCCTGCTGCAGCCCTGCAGAGCTAAGGCAGGGCACTGTACTGTGGGTAAGTACCTTTGTCCCTTATATCCCGATGCATCTTGTTTCGACGTGTTCGCCGCCTTCTGTTTGATGAAGCACCAGTAGCGCTACATTATCGCTGGGGAGGAGGCAGCTGTCCCTGTCATAAAAGTTTTTCCAGTGAAAGGCCAATGCTATACAGAGATGGAGGTGGAGAAGAAAAGCCACAAAACACAGCAGAGTTTGTTAGTGCCGGAATTCCAGGGTGTCTAAAAACGTGGGGTAAAAATGCGCCCTTCTGTCAAGGAAGAACTAAAAGGTTGCAGATTTTGTTGCTTGGCCCCTCACTGGTATTTTTTAGTATAGCTGGGACCTTTCTGTTACCGTTGTTTCCTATGGAAATGGTGGGTTGCTCTAACATGGCCTGATGTGAGATTTTGTATGAGGCTCACAGTTAATGTACATCACCACCTAAAAAACACATGCTTTAGAAAGCAGACAAAAGCCAGTGCTTTGTGATGTTTTCTGGCCAAAATATTAATGTAGAGTGGTCAGAATACAGCATTGTTTTCACAGATGCCTTCACCATAAATGCAAAATTAGTTTTGGCCATAAAATACAGTTTTCTTGGCATCTATCAATGTTTTGTTCTCTGTGTATGGTTGAACAGGGTTTGGATTTAATTTTTTTTAAATAGTCATATTGAATACAGCTGTATTTTGTGGTTTCTTTATCTGTTTTGGGGTATATTTAAGTTTAGTCAACTCTGTAGTAACAGAACGTGTGCATTCACTTGTTTACTAGATTATGAACCATCAACAAAACTTCATATGCAAAGCCATTATTTTTGTGTTCTGTTTTGTGCTTAAGTTGAGCTTTTGTATCTATGACAAAAAGACAAATATTTGATTTATAAAAGATAATACCTTTGAAAGTTCAATAATATATTGAACTGCAGATCTTTCTGAATCATTCTTGCTGCAAATCTTCTTTTTAAAAAATCTGGCAAACATTTTTTCCTTGCCTTACAGTACTCTGTCAATAAAAGTGAGTTGCTTTAAGCAATACTTCTCCCTCTGGTTTTCATTCTAACTGCATTCTCTATATTGGGGTTATCTGGGATAATGCTGCATAGCGGCTAGGTGTGTGGTCTGTACAGAATTATTTAACGACATGCTTTCAAATTCTTCTAGTTAGAGGGCCTTGTTTTTTGGTGAGAAGTCCATCAACTGACCTCATCAGTACTGCTACGAGGGGTCTCATTTAAAAAAATCAGACTGTTCATTATTTTTTATTTAACCCACCTTCTTTGTTTGCTTTAGAGCCTGGATGTGAATATGCACACACATGTCTGTGTGGCAGGGGGAAATCTGTGGTGGAAATGTAATGGTTTCATAGACTGCCTTCCAGTATCTTCCAAAACACTGGAGGTTCCTGGACCATCTACTTTTAAGTGGCAATATGGCTCTTAGAAAGCAGTACTCACCTGCTTATTCCCCCAATTTACTTTTGCAGCTATAGGAAGTGAAAAGGAGTTACAAAGATATGAAAACAAAATATACTGGAGCACCCAGGCGATCTCCTTAGTATGGCACCCCTGACATAACTAAAGAAAGTGATAACCTTCTACTATCCAGCAGAGCAACCAACGCACATTTGCACATGAAGGTGGAAAAGGAGAGAGGAGAGCTGAAGAATGACTGAAGTTCAAACAGCCTGCACAAGCAATGGAGAGACACAAAGAGGAAACAGTGCATCAGGAAAGCAGTCAGTCCAGACAGCCTGAGAGAAAAGTTCAAACAAGAACAGACCCTAAACAAAGGTAAACAAAAAATTGCCAGGGGAATATTACTACCTACAGTGCTCTTGGCTCCTGGAATTAAATACAGAGCTATCCCATACAAACGAAAAGAAGAAAGTGTTTGGACTCCTTTTCATCCACTAGGAGAGCTCTGTTCCATAGGAAGCAAGTTGTAAAAGTCTTCCTGGCTTGGGTGGGCCAAAATTGTAGTGCTTGTTGTCAGCACTCAAATGAAAACCAGCTTGTGGGAAGTCTGAAAACATGCAGCAAAAAGTCTGAAAACATGCGGCAAAGATGTATCTCAATATCATTCCAAAGTCAGGAAAGATTTCAGACAATCACTTTTGTAATGAAGAAATTAATAACCTGAAACCATTTGCTACTGGAAGATAGCCAGCTGAATTAAGAGCTAAAAACATAAAGTACACTCTTATCTGGCAAGCTGAAAATACCATCAGTGTTTTAACTAATGAGGACCAATCAGGTTTAAACATCTTCAAAATAACATTACATTCAGTATTGTCTGCATTGAAGACCAGTATCACAGCTTCTGAGAAGCCAAGGAATATTTAGATGCCAAAAGCAAGAGAATGACTTTGTGAGAATAATCTTTTTTGTTCTCTTCTTTTATTCACAACATGCCTACAGCTCTTGTTATCGTGCAAATAAGGACATCCATGAATAACTGATGCAGAAGAAGAGTTTGCACTGATGTAACAGTACATTTGGAGCCCCAGCAAGCAAGACGTGTGCTAAACCTGCCGCCCAGGAATGTGCACTCCTGCGATGTTTTCACAAGTTAAAACAGAGACTGGCCTGAGTGGTTAGTCAAAATTACCAGTAGAATTACCTCAATCTCCCTGAATTTAGCTTTGGGAGGCTAAATTCACTCCTTCTATTGAAGGCAGTTTAGTCACACTGCAGATGAACTTGCCACAATGCACAGGCTGATGTTGGGAACTTGGCTGCCCTGGTTTGTTTAATTGCTCTGCAACAAAAAGGGAACCTTACTAGAATTCAACAAAACTTCCTCTTCATCCCAAGGGGTCAGCGTGGACCCATTAGCAGCTGTTGCCCATTGTTCTCAATGAAGAACCTCTAAGCACCAAGTTATTAACCCATCAGTGAGCTAAGCGTACAGGCAGTGGCATTTTATCCCCTTTCTACAGGTTCCTGTCTCAGATACTAGATCCAGTACCCTTACTGGTTTCATACTTTCACCTGACTTGCATATCTGCACTGGGGAATTTGGGTAAGTTACTTGGGCATCTACAAAAGTGTGTTTCATAATTGGGTAGCTCAATGGAAAGGCAAGAAATGTCTAAGTATACGTGGAGGAGAGAAAAATCTATCCATCAGCCTCAAGATCCGTTGACGTTAGCCTTGTCTTCTTTCTGAATTCAAGCAGGAGGCCCCAGTGGCACAAGCTTCCGAATGTCTCAGTGGTCATTGCTTCGTTTCAGGAAGACTTCTCCTAACATTGGAAACAAACTGTTTAATACCAGACAGACACCAGTGGGTCATAGAGACTTGGGCAGTCAAGTTCTAACTAGATCATCCACATGATGGAAATCACTACAGTGGGATTACTATTGCCTCCTGCTCAACTCAGTGTCCACCAGGGCCCCTGGGGCCTTCTCTGCCACGCTGCTTTCCAGCGGCTTTCAAGATTCATATAATTGTATATTCTATGTCTACACAAAATTCATAGAATTGTCAAGGTTGGAAGGCTCCTTTAAAATCCTCGAGTCCAACCATCAACCTAACACTGCCAAAACCACCACTAAACCATGTCCCTAGGCATCACATCTAACTGTCCCTTAAATACATCCAGAGATAGGGATTCTACCTCTCTTCTGTTCTCTCCTTCCGTCTTTGTCCAACTTTCTCCTCTTACTCTCTGGTTGCCCGTCATTCTTCTCTTCACAGGTTGTTTTCCTCTTTCTGCCCACATGCGAAGAGCCTGGCAACCTTTCCATGCAAGAGTATTGTTAGACAAGTAAAGCCATGATAAACTTGAACCAGTTCTGCTCTTAAAACCAAGCTGGCTCGTTTTACCTTTTCTCCTCGGACAACCTCTGCACGTGCTTGCACTCTGCATCAACTGGAGGCACCTGCAATGGAAATGTGGATATTAACAGGTGGCCATGACCTACCCACTCAATTCTGTTGTCATGCTGTTTGTGGACCTGACATACTTCTCCTGTTTCTGCTTTTGCCTCCAGTGCCGCTGACTCCTCTCCTGATGCCCCGGCAAACACAGTCTCCTCCTCCTTCTCAAAGAGTTCCCCACGGTGCTCAAGGAGGAACTCCACCAGCTCTGTCACCTGCACAAAGCAAACCATTGGTTTCCACCGAGGTGGCTGAAAATGGCTCAAACGGCCTCTGCCCCTCCTGACCCTTGCTTCTATTCAGAAAGCTGCAGCTGTGAGCAGGGCAGCTCTTCCCGGCAGCTCTTCCCGGCCACCAGCGTTTGCTGAAGAGAGGAGGCAGCCAGGCACCTCTGAGCAGCAAAGCTGGGCTGGGCCCAGAAGGCTGTAGCCGGCTGCTGAGCACAGCGTACCTTCTGTGTCACCTCCACCAGGACGTCGAGGGGGAGTGTGTGCTCCTCTGGTGGGCTGAGCAGGTTCGGCCCCACACAGATGGCCAGGTTGTGGCCATTCATCCTGCTGGTGGCCACATTGCTGCTGATGTTCTGCAGCAGGGATAGCAACTGCTTAAGGAGCAGGAGATTGCCTTTGGGCAACTTGCTGGCCACCCTGAGGGAACAAGAACACAACATTAATAAAGTAGACGCTGTCAGCACAGGTCCCCCAGGCTGATCTCACCCAGGGCCACGTGAGGGAAGGCTCCCTGGCCATGCCTGGTCTTCAGCAGAAGGACGGCCTTTGCTGAGGTATGGCCACCTCTCTCCCTCCCTGCCCTTCTGGCCAGAGTCCCGTCATGGAACAACCCACCATGCCTGCCCCAAGTGCTCCAAGGAGAGCAATGCTTTTCAGTGCCACCACTTTCCCCCCAAAGCCCACCCCACAGCAGCCAGCGGTGCCAGAGCACAGCTTTGTCAAGGAGGCCGTGGCTTTGCAGGCAAGTGCTGGCCTCTGCCAGCCCCTGGGCAGCAGGCAGGTGCTGGCCACACTTACTCTTTCAGTGCTGCCAGCTTCTCCTGCCTGCTCTCCTTCTGCAGGGCGCTCATCCAGTCCTCATAGAGCTCTGCCCGAAGGAGCTTGGAGGGCATCTTACGGAGGAAGTCCTGCAAGGCCAAGGGCTGCGGGTGAGACTTGGAGCACTCCCACCAGGAGCACAGGCAGCGTCCCTGGCACTGGCTCAGGAGCAGGCGGCTGGCTTTGGGTTCCTGCCCATCTGCCCCAAGCGAGCCGGGAGCAGCCAGGCCCCAGGTCAGCAGGCTTCACCTTCAAGATGACGGCCAGCAAGTGCGCAGGCTGGCTTTCCAGCTGGACCTCTGCTCCAGAGTCCAGGGCCTCCCTCAGCTGCCGCGAGGCGTGCTCGCCGGCCGCCAGCCGGAAGATCCCCTCCGTGGATGGCCCGTGCTGCTGCAGAAGAGCCAGCAGGTCCTGCAGGGCAGAGAGGAGGTAGAGTTGCTTGGCTGTAGACAGGCTTTGGGGCAGGTGAAGCGAGCTTAGGGGCAGGAGCAAGCGTGGGCAGCTCTGCAGCTCTCCGTGGGGCAGGATGCAGGGGTGGGAGACATGGGGAGGAGCTGGCTTTGTCCCTCCCAAAGCCCCAGCTGGGTTCCCTCTGCCTGGGTCACCACCTCTCCAGAGGGGCCAAAGGGCTGGGCACCCCCTAGGCAGGCGTGCTTACCTGGATGGGCTGGGGTAGGGTGCCATCCTGGCTGCAGAGAGCTTCCAGGGGCCGGCCAAAGAGAGCCCCGCTGTTCCCAGAGGCCGCCGACCCGGGCGCCGCTGCAGTGGCCGAGTTCCCTCGCCGGCCAAATGGCCAGGGAAGAAACCTCCTCCTGCTGCCGGTCCCACCTGATGGCAAGGACAAGAGGGCAAAGAGGCATGGAGGAGAAGTGCCAGGTGAGTGCTCCCGCAGCCTCTCAGCACTGTCCCCCTGCTGCCGAAAGCAAGGGAGAGGCGTTGTTTGGGAAGAAGGGGCTCTGGGGGCTCAGCTCTCTCCTGCCGCAGAGCCGTGGGGATGGACGTGCCCTGCAGGGAAGGCAGCAGCAGCTCCAGTGCAGCACCAGTGCCCGCCTGCCAGAGGAGAAGGGCCGTCCTGTCCCCGTCTCCTGCAAACTCACCAGCTGTGTGGCCAAGTCCACCTTGGTTGGCAGGGGGGACGGGAGGTGGCCGCTGCTTGGCACCAGCCTGCAAGAAATGCCCTGTGCTCAGCCAGCAGCCCCGCAGCAGAAAGGGCCCGCGGGGAGCTGCCTCAGCCCCCTGTCCCTGCGAGATGTGCAGCCTGAGGGATCCTCACCTCTGCCTGGCGCTCCACCAGTCTCTCCAGGCTGCTGGCGTGGAGTGGCATTGCCTGGGCAAGGGGAAAAGAGCAGAGGATGAGAAGCCCTGCCCCTGCCCCTGCTCTGGGGCAGGCTCTGGGGGCAGAGCGGAGACAGGAGGGACACTCACAGCCTTGCGGCGCCTCAGCTCCTTCCGCAGGAGCTTGATGGAGGGCACCTGGGTCACCCGGGCTCCCTCCACTCCTGCTGGTGGCCTGTGCGTGGGGAAGGGGCAGAGAAAGAGCAGTGTGAGACCAAAGCCGCCTCCCTCATGCCTCTCCTGCCAGCCCTGAGAGCACTTCCAAGCTGCCCCCAGCTCTGCCCGCTGGAGAGCTGCCTCCAGCCATGGGGGCACCTCTCCCCAGCTGGGGAGTGGTGTTTCCAGATGGTAGGGCTATGCCTGGAGCATCCCCCCGGTGCTGGGAGCAGGGCTTGCCCAGGCTGCACGGCCAGGCAGGGCTTACCCAAGGAGGGCGCTGAGCCAGAGCTCCTTCACCACCCGGGAGCTGCAGACAGAGAGGGGAAACAGCCTGAGTGCCCGCTGCGGCACAGCCCTGCCCCGTGGAGATGGCCACAGAGGCAGGACGGGCCCCCTGGGGCAGGACCGAGGTGCCACCCAGCCCTGCCGTGGGGACGAGGCACCGAGACTCACCAGAAGGTGACTATGCAGGATCCAGAGGGCCAGAGGAGGACGAGGGACTTGGCGTCCTTGCCCTTCTCCTCCATGGTCCCATCGCCGGCCGCCCCCTTCCCGCTGCAGAACACCTGCAGCATGGCCAGGGCCAGGCAGAGCTGCGGGCGCGGGGTGCTGCCACGTCTGCAGAGAGGAGCATCAGGGAGTGACCTGGAGGTGGCCGAGCCCAGGGGCTGCCCTCCAGCCTCCCCCTGCCATGGGGGCGGCCATGGGTGCCTCCAGCAGCAGGGTGCCGGGGGCCTGGGGCTTGGGAGGAAAGGGGCTCTGCGAGTCTTACTTGGCCTTGGCGATGACCAAGGTGTCCTTGTAGAGGAGCAGGTCCCTCTTCCTGCTCCGCCGGCCCTCGGTCACCTTCACCCGCTGGCGGTGCAGCGGCTCGGGTGGTGCTGCCACGGGCTCAGGGTCGTCCCTGGGGAGCAGACGGCGTCGGGCATGAGCAAGGGGGCTGCCGCGGGGACCGGCCGTGCCGGCGTGTCCCCGAGCCATGGGGGGAGCTCACCTGGAGCCCTGGCAGCAGTTGACCTGCCCCATCTCAAGGAGATGAGGAGAAGCCTCACGCAGGACACAGCTGTGGGGCTGATGACAGTGCCCAGCTGGCCCACGCAAGGCTGTCCAGAAGGGTCGCGGTGCCAACAAGCGCTATCAGAAGCTGCTGGTCAAGAGCAGGGCTCTGCCAGTGCTGCTCGCTCGGTGCTGGCACAGCACTGTCCCTGCAGTGGGGACGTTGCCGGGCCAGCGCCAGGTCCAACATTGTGATGTCAAGAATTGCACTAGGGGGGGATGGTGGGGGAGGGGCACTGGGGGGCTCTCCCCGGGATGACCATGTCTCTCTTGGCCTGGGGAGCCCAGACCTGGGCACAGCACAGCAGGCATGGCCTGGCCAGCACTGAGCAGATGGGAAGGGTCACCTCCCTCCAGCTGCTGGCAAGGCTTTGCCCAGTGCACCCCAAGGTACCACTTGCGCCTGCCCTTGGGCAAGGGCACCTTGCTAGCTCCTGCTCAACTCGCTGTCCACCAGGGCCCCTGGGGCCTTCTCTGCCACGCTGCTTTCCAGCAGCTTTCCAGATTCCAAGTCTCGTAGAATTGTCTAGGTTGGACGGCTCCTTTAAGATCCTCGAGTCCAACCATCGACCTAACACTGCCAAAACCACCACTGAGCCATGTCCCTAAGCACCACATCTAACCGTCTCTTAAATACCTCCAGGGATAGGGATTCCACCACTTCCCTGGGCTGCCTGATCCAGTGCTGGAGAATTCTTTTGGGGAAGAATTTTTTCCTCATATCCTATCTAAACCTCCCCGGCGTAATTTGAGGCCATTTCCTCTTGTCCTATCGCTTGTCACTTGGGAGAAGAGACTGACTCCCACCTCTCTCCAGCCTCCTTTCAGGGAGCTGTAGAGAGCAATAAGGTCTCCCCTCACCCTCCTTTTCTCCATGCTGAACAACCCTGGCTCCCTTAGCCACTCCTCACCAGACTTGTGCTCTAGACCTCTCATCAGCTTTGTTGCCCTTCTCTGGACCCAGTCCAGCACCTCGATGTTTTATAGTGAGAGGCCCAAAACAGAACATAGTACTTGAGGTGCAAGTACAAGTACAGTGGGACGATCACTTTCCTAGTCCTGCTGGCCACACTCTTCCTGATACAGGCCAGGATGCTGTTGGCCTTCTTGGCCACCTGGGCACACGTTGGCTTATATATAACAGCCAGCTCTCGACCAACACCTCCAGGTCCCTCACTGTCAGGCAGCTCTCCAGCCACTCTTCCCCAAGCCTGTAGCGCTGCATGGGGTTGTTGTGACCCAAGTGCAGGACCCGGCACTTGGCCTTGTTGAACCTCATCCCATTGGCCTCAGCCCATTGATCCAGTCTGTCCAGGTCCCTCTTTAGAGCTCACCTACCCTCAAGAGGCAGGTTGACACTCCCCACCTCACTTGGCGTCATCTGCAAACTTACTAAGAACACTCGAGGGTACAGTCAATCTCCTCGTCCAGGTCATTGATAAAGATGTTAAAGAGAACAGGCCCTAATGCTGAGTCCTGGGGAACACCACTTGTGACCAGCCTCCAACTGGATTTGACTCCATTCACCACCATTCTCTGGGCCTGGCCCTCCTGCCAGTTTTTTACCCAGCAAAATGTACACCCATCCCAGGCATAAACAGCCAGTTTCTCCAGGAGGATGCTGTGGGAAATGGTGTCACTAAAGTCTTAGTAAACAACATCCACAGCTTTCCCCTCACCCAGTAAGTGGGTCACCTTGTCCTGGAAGGATATCAGGTATGTCAAGCAGGACCTGCCTTTCATTCACCCATGCTGACCGGGCCTGATCACCTAATTGTCCTGAATGTGCTGTGTAATGGCACTCACAATGATCTGCTCCATAACCTCCCCTGGCACCGAGGTCAGGGTGACAGGCCTGTGGTCCACTGGACCCTCCTTCTGGCCTTTCTTGTGGATGGGCGTGACAGTTTCTAACCTCCAGTCAGCTGGGACCTCCCTGGTTTGCCTGGATTGCTGGTAAATGCTGGAAAGTGGCTTGGTGAGCACTTTGCCAGTTTCCTCAGTACCCTTCTGTGGATCCCATCTGGCCCCATAGACTTGTGTATGTTTAGGAGTTGGAGCAGGTCCCTTACCATCTGTCCCTGGGTTCATCAATAGGGAAGCTGGATTCCACATCCTCTCTCATGCCCTGTATTCTGGTTTTCTGCAATTGATTCAGCCAAAACATCGGTGTGCTGACATCACTACGGGTCTTCTTCCCAAACACTTCGAATATTTCAAAAACGAAACATCACCAAGGTAAAATACAAATCACTTCTCCCAGTTGCTCCCCACCTGACTGTCAAGAGCTACCAGAGACGTGGTGGTGAGTTTTGTGCTGCCCCAGCAGACACTGCTGAACCCAGCTGCCCTGTTGTTGGAGACAACCACCTCCTCATCAAAGCTGTTAGATGCAAATAGTTGCCTCTGCCTCTGTCCTCCACGGCAGAACTTGGCTTTTCAGCTGCACCTCCTATGGAGGGGAGTTAAAGCTCTACCAAGGTCAGTGGAGGCTGAGCAGACACAGGACCTCTTTGGCTGCTCTGGCAGGAAAGGGACATCTCCAGCACTGCAGCACTTGGGCAACAAGAGTAGCCAATGGGTGCAGCAAGGTTCACCTAAGGTTTTCTGCCAAAACTTTCAAGTCAGTTTTGTTAAGTGTGCAATTTATCCACTCCTTTGCTGTGGACACTCCTGAGGACGCGACCTGGTGAACTGTTTTAGCTGCTGGTCTCAAACACAGTTGCTCCGAGCCAGCTCCACCTCTTCTCCCACCAAAAAGTACAATGCATTGAGCTCATCTGGTTTAACTCTTCACCTCATTTCTTCTTTTCCTGAGCTCTGTCAAATACTCCAGGTTTGAAAATCCAGGTATTAAAGCCTTCATCTTAATTGGATCAGCAACAGCAAAAACATTTCTCTGACCTTGGCCTATAGATGTATTTCAGCTTTATATGCATACATCAATTCAACATGTATCTGTAAGGCCTTATCTACATGAGCAAGTTGCACCAGCTTAAATTTAACCTGTTGTTGCAAATTGATTTTTCTAAATCAGTTTGAATACCTGTGGAAATGCTTATTTCAGTTTAAAGACTTTTTTTCTATTGATCTGTGTTCAAACCCAAATAACCTTGGTTTTATTCTAATAGCAAGAGTGCTCCCACAGGTCTGCACATCAACCGTCCTAAATGGTTTTAAAACCGCACCTTTAATTATATGGTTGTAACTCCTTTGCATTCTTACGGTCTCTGGGAGCGGCTGAGGTGCTAAATAAAAACTGTCTCAGGAGCTGCTTGTACCCTGTGCCCTGAGTGGCCACACCGCCCAGTGCGAGGACAGGCCCTGGTCTGCCAGGGATCACTCCAGCCACGCTGCCCCAAGAGATTGCTGAGCAGTCTGGGCTAATTTACACCAGAAATATCCCCCTAGGAGGCATTTTGGATGAGACTGTGCTGGGTACGGTTCCCTCTGCCTCGTGCAGCCCTCAGGTAGGATGTGAACAGCTTTGTAGCCCCGACAAATCCCCCTGACATCCCACAGAGCACGCAGGGCATCCTCTTAGTTTCACGCTACGGGCGGTGCAACACAACTCCTGCCTTATTCCAGACAATTGAGCTGAATAAAACACACAAAGAATATGATGATTATTTGCTCAGCCCATATAAACACCAAATAGAGCCCAGGGTATGCCCGGTGGATGTGACAGGGCTTGGATCGCTTTCACAAAGCCTATCTTCTTTCCAGTAAATCAGTGCTTTTCAGTAGGAAAAGGTCTTAGTACAATCCAGTAAAACTGGTTTTCTGAGCCAATCTAGCTACAATGTTTTACTCTACTATATATTCAGTCATCCACAGCTGATGGATAATCAAACATTATATTCCCCATGAGCTGGACAGTCAGAAATGCCAAAGACAGGCTGGTTCAACATTTTTCCCTGGCTGAGCCTTCTACTAAGGTATCACAGAGCTAAGTAAAATCTAAACTCTTTTTTAACACTAGAGGGCTAGCGTTACTTTAAGTTGGCTGACTGCACACACACGCACGAGATTAGTAGGTTTATCATCTTTGAGGTAGAAATTTAGGTTGGTTTGCTTTTTTTTTTTGATATGTAGAGTACTTAGATACCACAGTGAGAAGAAATTTCCAGCACCATGATATGATAAGGGGCCTTTCATTAACCTCGTAGTACTTACTGAAAAAACTGTTTTATTTTGTTTGTGGAAGCATGACTTTTTGGGAAACTAATGACAGTTGCATTCCCACTTCTGTATGATGTGCAGAGAAGTTGTAATAGAAGATTGAGTTAACTGCAACATTTCATTTTCTCTGTCTCCAATGACTGTAGTTATTTGCTTCTCAGCTGGAATGCAGCTAATATTTGCATTTCAGTTCCCAAGAACATTCAGGAGTTACATCATTTTCAAAACCTAGCACCTACAGTTTAAGAAACAAATAGCCAAAGACGTCAGAATCTTATGCCACAAAATAAATGCACATTTTATTTCTCGGACACAGAAACTATTCTCAATAATTTGAACCGTGACATCTGCATTTTATGATGTCTCCTTTTCATTTCTGCATTTTCTTTGCCTGACTGTAAGCGTCTACATACGTTCACTCACAAGCTACGGTTAGATGAGAAATACTATTACAGATGATATTTCTCAATGGATAGTTAATCATTTTGAGAACTATTTAAAAGTACGGCTTGCTTTCTGTGCTTTAGCATGAAAAGCAGGGAGTGCTTGGGGTTATTTTTTCATAACAATTTTTACAGTAAGAGGGAGAGGGGAAAAAAAAGCACAGGATGGTGCGCGACGTCCATCGAAAACAGCATGAAGTTTCCCTTTGGCTGCAGTGAGCCC